TAAATATCTTTGTAAATAACTTCAGTAAAAACAAAAACGATTTTCAAAATTTTGTTTTTTTCCGGATATCTCCGAAAGTAGTCAGAATTTTCAGTTTCAAAACTGCATTTTGTTAAGCATCAAAATACACAACTTTGCCAAATTTAAACTACCTACCTATCCTATCTCTTACAGTTCCCGAGATACCCATGGTGGCCCTCGAATTTGAATCAGCCTGTATATTACTAATTTACAAAAGACCATCCCTCGAATTTAAGACATGGGGAAGAGAGATACAAATGGGTATAAACGGCTAAAAAAATTTTAAAAAAATCGGTATACCGTATGTCCCCGGATTGACTTTACTCATTACCACCTAAATAACAAGGCCTCCGCGCTCCGACGTGACGTCACCATAAGCAGGCCAGCCGTAGTAGTGCATTGACGTTGAATTGCATTCATTTATGTGCTTATATCATTTAAAAAAAAGGGCTTCCTGTAAAAACGGGGTTGCCAGTCATGAACTGAGCCCTTTGTCGCACCCCATTCGACTTTTTATAATGGAAAACGAAATTTCAAAGCAAAAACCATACTGTGGAATATAAAATATTAATCTTAATAATCTTACTGATGACTATAAAACTGTTTTTAATGTACATATTTAACACAATAATGAATTTTAATATTATTTATTTGCTAACGTGCTTAATTTTCTGCTTTTGTTACCTTTCTTTAATCGATTATTTCGTTTACCACAATAATTTTTAAGCAAGGTATTCGTTGTTGAGTTAATTATAATATTCGCTATTCTTTCCTCGCTATGATCCTGACATCCACAAAAATAAAGCAGATAACCCTCTTCTGTAAGATATTTTAAAACTGACTGCGTCACGAAGTTCCGTTTGTCATACACATTTAAAAACTGTTCTTCAAAATCTTGTAGCAATTTATTGAAAATAACATAATTATAGAAAACCAAATTGACTACCGAATCAAGTGGATACAACAAGTGTCCACGGCTTAAATTTTGTATCAAACTGTAATTATCTTCTACTACTAGTTCGTCTCCATACACTAATTTTTGTTTGCAAGAATCACATTTAATTTTTTTTAAAACAATGTAGCAGCAATAGCCCGCTAAATAAGTTAGAGTTACCACGGGCATTTCTTCCTTTCTAACTTTTTCTATCGTTTCTAGATCTACGTCAATATTAGGGGTAAATGAATGTACTTGCTGTACCTCCACGACATTCACCTTATAGTCCTCATCATCATCACAAAACCTATCAATATGTATCGTCCCAAAAAACCGTGATTTTAAAGACAATAATGATTGAATTCTAAGTCTTTTCTCGGATTCATACAATTGTCGCAAAGAAATGTGATACTGCCCACCAGCCAGTTGGCGATATTTTCCAAATCTATGTTCAAGTGGATCTGTCTGCAATTTACCGAGTAACATGTAATTCATCTTTAGTTCATTGAAACAATATTTACTTATTTCAATCATTCCATATATTGTATGGTATAGTGCAGTATGTGTTTGTTTTGACAATTTATGTGAACAATTTCCCGCTTTCCAAATTTCAAGCCATTGTAGCATTTTCTCCAAAAATGTAAGCTTAGGATCTGTTAAATTTGTTGCTGTAATCGGTTCCTGGTATATGTCAGTTAATCTTTTACCTTTTAGAGGTGTTTTCACATTAACAATTTTCCACCATGTTAGTATAATATTAATGAAATCTGCAGTATCTTTTGATCCTTCAATATTTGATCCAAAATGTAATAAGGCTTGAACAACAAAGGGATTAAAAACTTTCAGTGCTAACTTGACATTTTGTCTTTCTAAATTTGACGGATACAAGGCTTTTAAAGTTAGAGAATATCCGAATTTAAGCAATTTATCATGTTCCAACTCGTGAAGCGTTTTTAATGCATGAAACATCGCATTTTTTTGATCGCCTGTTTCAAAATCAGGATAGGTCAATAGTTGATCAGGTTTAGAATTCAACCAGATATTTCTTACACATTTGAGTATATGCACAGAGTCAAACAAATAAAATAAGGGTCTGCTTTTATCAAAAGGATGAGGATAAACAATGCTCAGCTTCTTACTTGGTGAAAAATTGCTCATAGCTTTACTATTGATTGCGTTGTTATCGCTAACTACGCAAAAAACTCTAAAACCGATTTCTTCCAAATTTTTTATTACTGTCTTGGTGAATGTGTAAAGGATTTCGTGATCGAGTTTAGAGGTTGGCGATATATGTATTACTTCTTTAAAATTTGATTTAATACTTGTGATCATGAACGCGACAGCCGAGGTAGCTAACGTATTATTATTACAAGAAGTCGCAACAATATTTCCTCCCTTATAATCGACATATGGTTGAATATGAATTTCGTCCATTAGTAATACCACATATTTGTTATCATCTTCCACAAACTTATAAATATCTCGAGCATACTTTTGAAATGATTGCTTTTCTTCGGAAGCGGGATCACTTAAATATGAATTACAGACCCTTTTTATAGTTTCAGGATGTGGTAAAATAAGGCACCCAGAATGTCGAAAATATTTATAAGCATGTGGGCTAATGGTAAACATTATTGAAGATACAATAACGGTATTCACAGAATAGCGATACCTTTCTTTGGGAATGGCATGTAATTTTAATTGTTCCGAAATAAAAGCCAAGTAGGTAAGTGTCTTCATCTTTGTTTAAACTAAGTATCAATAATATTTGTGACATGATTTAAGATTTGTTTTTTATTATTGTCATCATTATTTTCTAGACTTCCAGATGCAAGCTCGCCTAAAGCTTGAAGCAATTCTTTAATTTCATTTAAATTATTTGAATTAAAAGAAGTTTTTAAATTGGGTATTGACATCTCTTTACCATATAAAAATGTTTCAACTTTTAAGTTGTTATTTATAACGACCGCGTAAGTTACTATAGGCCCGAGAGCATACATTAATTTAAAAATAGTAACTTTTTCTTTATCAATAATTTTGAACCAACCGTCTGGAATTTGGAATGAATTTAAAATAGTGAGTAACTCCTCGTAATTTTGATAACATATAGACTTTTGATAGGCCGTATATTCTTCATGGCTTTCTTCAATCGCCTTCAAAAAATTCGCCTGATCAATTGCCATTAATTTTTCATCCCGACTTTTGCGACTTGTTATTGACTTTGAAAAATAATGTGGACAATTGGGAAACTGGCTTGGTACTGCTTCGGAATGAAGTCTGGGATATTTTAATTTTATTGTTACAACTTGCCCAGTTCGTGAATCTTGTTCCGTAATAGTCCAAATAATATTTTCTTCGGGGAAATGTAAATGACATACCTTTGAATGTTGTGTCACAGTAAATTTTGTACGTGGTATGGCTGTAATCCACCTTTCGCGTAATGTCTCATGTTTGGGAAAACTAAATAGATGCACCTTTTCTCCATTTGCGTAGTTGCCTCGGCATCTAGGGACACAGCACTTGTTCGGCATATTCACAAATTTTCAGAAACAAACGGAGAAAAGTCTCTAAAAACAATTTGCGCAATACCGTTACTACACAGACAAACGCCGCAGGCAAGACTGAATTGCGCCAAGTGGCTGCGCAATAGCATAGCCTTCTTTATCTGACGTCAGAAGCTATTGACGTCAGAGCACTGGGGCCTTGTTATTTAGGTGGTAATGCTTTACTAGAAGAAAAACTTTTACTATACTTTTTGACAAAAATGCATTCTCCATAAAAGCGTTTGCTTGTTCTAATTCGAAATTTCACTAGCGTTTCAGAAAAAAATACAAAAAGAAACGAAAATATGGTTGAACTTTTTCCAAGTCCTAAAAGTCAAAACGCGTCTCTACTGTAATAACATTTCGTTAGTTACAGTCTTGGAGTTGGTCGTTACCTGTTATTTGAATAGGTACTCGGATCGTCATAAGTATAACAAACACACTTCGTAATGAGTAATGACATTGAATAAAAATCTCTTTATTCAATGGTAACAATGAAAAAGAATTGAATTTCCAAAGGTGTTTTCTTAGATGTCGGCTTTTTACCGTTAAGTGAAGGAATCGAGAGTTTTACTAAGGGCCCTTCCAAACAAAAAGCCCCTGTCGCCACTTGTGATCCAATTTTCCCACCTTAATTTTGAAAGTCCCCCATGCCAATAATTACGCGATTTTTACTTGATAAGTTACGTTACAAGCGTTGATTATTCTCCTCAAGTTGTGTGCGGTAGAGAGCTAATGATAATTTTGTTAACCTAGCAGTCTGTAAGGAACCGTGAACGACCTCGCGTTTGTGTTTTGTATCTTCTTGTCGTGTGGTTATGCAATTCAAATTGCATTTTTGTTTAAAGCTCCCTCTGCGTTGTTTGGGGCCCACTTAAAGAGAGTATAATGATTTAAATATTTGTATAGAAAACTGCTGTAGTTACGCTACTCATTATTAGGTACCAGCACAGTCTAACGAAAAAAACTTTGTCCTTTACTATGGGTACTTCTCTTTTCAGGCAATCCCAGCCATAAGGAGGTAAAACGGGCGGAGGGCAGAGATGAACGTAATATCATATCACTTTGTAACGACCCAGCTATTCAGTCACAGTACGTACAGTATTAACAATCTGGAATAACATTTGTTTAAATAACCTGAATTTTTTTCCTAATAAAATGAAATTTTTTCATGGTCAATTTTGCGCCTCCCCGGTAGCTGCGCCCTTGGCGGGCGCCCATCTTGCCACCGCCTAGATACGGCCTTGCTCGGAGTGACAAATCCTAGCTAACATCAAAATTTTTAACCCCCATTGCTTCACGTGCAAATACTTTCGAACGATATCTCTATGCTCGCCAACGATATTAGTCGTCTGAAATTTGAAATCAGACATCTTAACACCATTAATAAAAGGAAGGAAAATTTCCCGTATTAACAAAAAACGGAAAAAGACGAAAGGGAGAGTAAAAAAAGAGGGGTGACGATGAAGGAAGAAGAGTATTAGGACATAAGGAAGCTGATATCGTGTTTTTGAAACCCATTTATTTAAGTATAAACACTAAAAATAGAGGTCAACGTAAATGTAACACTAAAAATAGAGATAAAAAAATGTTAATGCTGTAATTTATAGTAAAGTTAACGATCCATTGCACAAGAGGTCAGCGTGTTCTCGCTTTCAAAGCTAACCAAAATCCGTTTTTGGCTTTCAGCTGAAATGCATGTTTGCCGAGCTGCAGCGGTACGTCGGTCTTTTCGGTGACCACCAGATTAAATTTGCTCAGAAGGTAGAAGAACACCAGTTTCGTTTCCATGAGTGCGAAACGATTTCCGATGCACGACCTCGGCCCGACGCCGAACGGTATGAACTGGTAGGGAAGTACGCTCGCCCTATTCTCCCTATTGAACCGTTCGGGATCGAATCGGGTGGGGTTTTCGTAATTGTTCTCATCCCGATGGATCGCGAAGATCGGAATCCAAAGGGAATCGTTCACGTTTAACTTTACGGCCTTTTCGCCCTCCTTTTCGGGTTTGATCGTGTACGGTTTGGTGCAGACGCGGCCGGAGAACACGCCAACTGGCCACTTTCTCATGGTTTCTGGTGAAGTACGACTTAGTGCGTGGACTTAAGCGGGAGAGGGTACTTACCTGAAACCACCATGTCCATGTATTCCATTTTTGACAACGCCTCGTAGGTTATATTCCCCCTGCATTGTCGCACGGTGTCGTCGACCTCAAGTTGAAGGCGTTCTTGTATGTCAGCGTTAATGGCAAGTTCGTGAGCCATGAAGCACATCAAAGAAGAAACGCTGTCGAAACCGGCGAGGAAGAAGACTAGCGCTTGAGCCGTTATGTCCATGTCGGTCAGTTGTTCCTTCTTCCGTTCTTCTTCTTTTCGATCCGCAACTCTTTCGATCACCCTGAATTCGGTCTCCTCGATGGTTTTATCAAAGTTAAGTCTGCCTTTTCGTGCTTCCATCAGTAGGTGAATCATGTCAGGGCGTGTAATGCCATTCTGCTCTCGACTCGCGATGATTTCCGGAATGAGCGTCGTGAAGAAGTGCGCCGCCCGCTTTGAGAAGAACGTTATTTGTAACCTCTGCAAGCAAAACCGCTGTGAAACCCTCGTAAATGGGGGTGTACCGCACCTTTGCAAGGCGAGGAAACAGTAACGTGAACACCTTCCGTAAGTTGGCCCAAAATCCCGTGAACGATGTTATATCTTTGCCCATCAAGTAAAATTCGTTCTGCGGATTTCGCATGGAATCGCAATTGATACCAAAGGCGCAGGTCGCGATGATGTCGTTCGTGAATCGACCGAAAACGTCCTTCATCTGCATCGAGTGGACTTCATCTGGATGTTCCTCGAAGTACCCCACGAACGCCTTGGCGTAGTTGGATATTAGATCAAACATCGTCTTCATTTTGCTACTTGTAAAAGAAGGGGTGAGAGTGGCTCGCATATCCTTCCATTTTTCACCTGTGAAATAAGAACATGTAGGTAATTGGTGCGAGCTTAAATATGACCGTGACCTTTTAGCGCAATCAGATTCTTTTGCCAAATCGGCTCGGAGTCCTGCGCCAACGCAATATTGATGTGATCGGTAAAGTATTCAAAGTCTTCCACCGTGACCTTCTTTATCAATTCAGGGTCGCGTATGACCAAAGTTGGTCTCGAAAACTGGTAAACCCCGCAGAACCTGGACAGATCGTTAGACTGGCGACATCTTCCGATTAACTTACCTTGACTCTGGAAACGCATCGTAAATTGTCTGAATGATCTCGGTAATGCCCCTGTAGGATATCAAACCGAGCAGCAATTCACGAAGGTTCACTAAATAACCATACTGCAGCACCCCGCGCGATTCCCAGTAGGTAAAGCGTTTGAGAAAGGCGAAATAAAGCACGACGCATAAGATCGCACCTGCAAGATAAAAAATCGCCATTTTGTTTTACAATAATCTTTATTAACTCGTTCACTCATACAGAAGTTAAAATTGCACTGTTAATAACACAAACAACATATCCTGATAAAACAGATGGAAATGTACCAAAAATGTATCATTTTTCTGCGACCAATCAAACTCTGTTGTGAAATCACAAGCATTTTGTAAATATTTTTATTTAGAATGTCTACGTAAACCATAGAACTGTATACGTAGTACAGTTCTATGACGTAAACATACACAATACAACAATAAATCGTAAAACACTGGACTGCTTCTTCTATCGATCCAATTTGCAATTACCTACTTCTCTTTTTAGCGCATTTTTGCAAATTTATTCGTAAAAAGGTAGCTTTTACTCACTTTGGCTGGCTGGCTGGCTGGTAGTAAATGCGGGCCCGTAGAAGAATGCTTGTAGAAAGACGAGGAGGTGTACATGTACCTATACCGGAGCCGTGTAATTAACAACTTTCGGAACGGGGCTACATGATGTGGCACCATCTTCGAGTGTTTAGTAGTAACCTAGATTTTTCAGTTTTTTCCTGTCTTCTTCTACAGTTTTCGCCCGATTGTTTTCAACTTGATGTCGTCGGAAAGATAAACGGGCACAACATCTGCGAGGCGCATCAATTAAACATTTTTCCCAGGGACCTTTTGTAAGGTGCGCGTCTTCGAGGGGTACGATTTTGGGCTCTCGTGTCGCCAAGCTATGATAAGTACCCAAAAATTAAGTACTACTTTGTGGCGAATTTTTTTTTAGCGAAATCCACCAAAATGCGAATTGCGAGTGAACGCGGACGCCGGAGGTGGGTACTGACAAAGGGAATGTGGTAGCCCCCGACAAGACCTTACTGTTGGTGGTGTGAAAAATGGCTAATAGAATACTGATATGCCACACAAAAATGCGGTGAAGTCCCTTCGATCTCACACCAGGACTTCCTTTGGATACCTGTATCTGTATCAGTGCTGGGTAAAGTCCTCTTCGGACTTCGGAACAGCTAAAAAAAATCGAGTTTTTTAAATTTCAACAAGATTACAAATTTACAAGAACAATTAAAAAATATTTCTATAAGATAACAAAGATTTCCAGAAAATTTCGAAATCTCGAAAGAATTTCGAGAACATTTTAAAATATCAAGAAGAGTTCAAAACGATTTCACGATTTCGAAAACTTTTCGACAAGATTTCAGAGAAATTTCGAGAATTCCGAAGGATTTCATGGAGGTTTTAACATTTTAAGAAGAACCGAAAATTAAAAAAAAACGTTACAAGACTTCAAAAGGAATTCAAGAAGACTTTCAAAAAAATTCGGTATTTCAAAAATGTTTCTATAGGTTTTCAAGAACTTTTCAAGAACATTTTAAGATTACAGAGAGAATTCCAGCAAAATTTCAAGAAGGTTTGAAGCAAACTTCAAAAAGATTTCGCGAAGATTTTGAGAACATTTCAAGCTAAAGGCCTGTTGAGGGCCCAAAACAAAAGAGGAATAATAAATAAATAAATAAATAAAAGAAGATTACATGAAGATTTCAAGAGGAGTTGAAGGTCTACAAACGTCTTTAGATTTCAAAATGTTTCAAAATTTTACAGATTATAGGATTTGAGTACTTGGCGACTTTTCGATTCGAAGACTCTAAGCTTTGAAGATTTGAAGATTTGCAGATTTGAAGATTTGAAGACTTGAAGACCCGAAGACCCGAAGACCCGAAGACCCGCAGACCCGAAGACCCGAAGACCCGAAGACCCGAAGACTTGAAGGATTGAAGGTTTGAAGATGTGAAGATTTCAAGATTTGAAGATTCAAAGATTGAAAGACCCGACCACCATCGACCCAGTCATTTGCCGGAACGCCTCCCACTCGCATTCCGGTGTTCCTGGACTTCTCCAACACGCGACGGCCCTTAAGAATCTACTCGGGCGTCCAATCTACATCAGGGCTGGGTCGGTACCGATACACGCGTCCTGGCGCAGACGGTGGACGAATTCAAGCTTGTACAAGAGTATCGCAAGAAACAAAAACTTCAGTTCTTCACTTATTTGTGTTTTTATTATCCCTCTCTTGTTCTGGATCCTCAATAGGCTTGCGTCCAGATTCCGGTGTCTAGATCCAGTTTCCGAATTTCAGTTTCCAGATTTTCGTATCCAAATTCCCGTTTCCAGATTCGAGTTTTCAAATTCTAGTTTCCAGATTCCAGTGTCCAGTTTCCAGATTCAAATTTCCATATTTCGGTTTTCATATTCCAGTTTCAAGATGTCAGTTACCAGTTTCAGACTTCAGTCGCAACACCATTTTCCAGAATTTAGTATCTCTATAATACATTTTTAAGAGTCATATATCCAGATTCCAGTTTGTGAATTCCAGATCCCAAATTAGTTTCTATACTTCCGTTTGTCAATTTCAGTCCCCAGGCTACAGTGTTCAGTTGTCAAATTTTGATTTTCAGAATTTAGGTATCAAAATTCTAAATTCTAGTTTCCAGATTCCAATTTCCAGATTCCAGCTTCCACATTCCAATTTTCAGATTTCAATTTTCAGGTCCTAGTTCTTAGATGTCAGTTTTTATATTCCAGATTCCAGTTTCCAGATTCCAATTTCCAGATTCCAGATTCCAGTTTCCAAATTTCGATTTCCAGAATTTTGGTATCGAAATTCCAAATTCTATTTTCCAGATTCCAACTTCCAGATTTCAATTTTCAGATCCTAGTTCTCAGATGTCAGTTTTCATATTCCAGTTTTCAGATTCAATTTTCCAGATTCCATTTTCTAAACACCAGTTCCAGATTCTGGTTCCTAGATTACAGATTCCAGTTTCTATATTTCAGTTATCAGTATCTAGAGCCCAGATTCCAGTTTCCGGATTTCAGTCTCCAGATGTTGGTATTCCAGTTTCCAGTAATTGTCGGTAATCAGCTCTACAAGTTACTTTGGAGAGAGCGTTTCAGAATTCATTGCGGACGAGGGCTATTAGCCAAGTTGGCATTGCAGTATACCCAACAAGTGCCATGAATAGTGTTTTTAGTAAATGTGATGAGTAGTAGAGGGCGCCGTTTGACATTAACATAAACTGGCCCATTTTCTTGCACCGGTAACATTGAACGCTGCCTCTCTTTTCAGCTATGACAGAAGTTGATTCTTTCGAAGGTAATTGCTAATAATTATCCATAAGTGCATTCTTTAAGTATCCGTCAAATAAGGTCAACATACCGTACGCTACGTTGCAGTTTCCACGATGCCGAAATAATCTCATGCCGAATTCGCAGTTGTAATCAAATAGCCCTAATTAAGATAACTGAATATGTTCGAAATTAGTGGCACTTTTAAAAGCCTTCTCGGCGCAACACGATCAGGAATGAAGAAACGGTACAAAATGATTTGTCTGGAGCGTAATGCTATATGATAGCGAAACATCCAAATAACGAACAACATATGAATATGGGAAAGGAGTTCGAAGATAGTTTGGAAAAACGGGCCGAGAAATGACTGGAAAAAGTAGGAGAAAGAAAGAAATTCAATTATAGACGCCACTAACAAAAGAAGGAAATTTGAAGATTTGGAGATTTGGAGGTTAGGAGATTTGAAGGTTTGAAGATTTGAAGGTTTTAAGATTTGAAGAATTGGAGATTTGGAGGTTAGGAGATTTGAAGATTTGAAAATTTGAAAGATTGAAGGTATGAAGGTTTCAAGAATTGCAGATTTGAAGGTTTGAAGATTTGAAGGTTTGAAGATTTGAAGGTTTGAAGTTTTGAAGGTTTGAAGATTTGAAGATTTTGAGATTTGGAGGTTAGGAGATTTAGAGATTTGAAGAGTTGGAGAATTGGAGGTTAGGAGATTTGAAGCTTTGAAGGTTTATTTGAAGGTTTGAAGATTTGAAGATTTGAAGATTTGAAGATTTGAAGATTTGGAGATTTGGAGATTTGAAGGTTTGAAGATTTGAAGGTTTTAAGATTTGGAGATTTGGAGGTTAGGAGATTTGAAGATTTGAAGGATTGAAGGTTTCAAGAATTGCACATTTGAAGGTTTGAAGATTTGAATATTTTGAGATTTGGAGGTTAGGAGATTTGGAGATTTGAAGCTTTGAAGGTTTGAAGATTTGAAGGTTTGAAGATTTGAAGGTTTTAAGATTTGAAGGTTTGAAGATGTGAAGGTTTGACGATTTGAAGGTTTGAAGATTTGAAGATTTGAAGATTTTGAGATTTGGAGGTTAGGAGTTTTGGAGATTTGAAGATTTAAAGGTTTGAAGAATTGCAGATTTGAGATTTGACGATTTGAAAATTTGAGAATTTGAAGAATGAAGGAACGGTACAAAATGATTTGTCTGGAGCGTAAAAATGCTATATGATTGTGAAGATTTGAAGAATTTGAGATTTGGAGGTTAGGAGATTTGGAGATTTGAAGGTTTGAAGGTTTGAAGATTTGAAGGTTTTAAGATTTGAAGATTTGGAGGTTAGGAGATTTGAAGATTTGAAGGATTGAAGGTATGAAGGTTTGAAGAATTGCAGATTTGAGGGTTTGATGATTTGAAAATTTAGAGATTTGGAGGTTAGGAGATTTGGAGATTTGAAGATTTAAAGGTTTGAAGGGTTGAAAAATTGCAGATTTGAGATTTGAAGTTTTGAAGGTTTGAAAATTTGAAGATTTTGAGATTTGGAGGTTAGGAGTTTTGGAGATTTGAAGATTTAAAGGCTTGAAGAATTGCAGATTTGAGATTTGATGATTTGAAAATTTGAGGATTTGAAGAATGAAGGAACGGTACAAAATGATTTGTCTGGATTTGGAGGTTTGAAGGTTTGAAGATTTGAAGGTTTTAAGATTTGGAGATTTGGAGGTTAGGAGATTTGAAGATTTGAAGGATTGAAGGTATGAAGGTTTGAAGAATTGCAGGTTTGAAGGTTTGAAGATTTGAAGGTTTGAAGATTTGAAGGTTTGAAGATTTGAAGGTTTGAAGATTTGAAGATTTGGAGGTTAGGATATTTGGAGATTTGAAGATTTGATGGTTTGAAGGTGTGAAGGTTTGAAGAATTGCAGATTTGAAGGTTTGGTGATTTGAAAAGTTAGAGATTTGGAGGTTAGGAGATTTGGAGATTTGCAGATTTAAAGGTTTGAAGGGTTGAAAAATTGCAGATTTGAGATTTGAAGTTTTGAAGGTTTGAAGATTTGAAGGTTTGAAGTTTTGAAGGTTTGAAAATTTGAAGGTTTTAAGATTTGAAGGTTTGAAGATCTGAAGATTATGAGATTTGGAGATTTGGAGGTTAGGGGATTTGGAGATTTGAAGCTTTGAAGGTTTGAATGTTTGAAGATTTGAAGATTTGAAGATTTGAAGATTTGGAGGTTAGGATATTTGGAAATTTGAAGATTTGAAGGTTTGAAGGTGTGAAGGTTTGAAGAATTGCAGATTTGAAGGTTTGAAGATTTCGAGATTTGAAGATTTGAAAGTTTGAAGGTTTGGAGATTATTTGGAGATTTGGAGATTTGAAGATTTGAAGAATTGAAGATGTAGAGATTTGGAGGTTAGGAGATTTGAGGATTTGAAGAATGAAGGAACGGTACAAAATGATTTGTCTGGAGCGTAAAAATACTATATGATAAGGAAACATCCAAATCACAAAAAGCAAATTAAAATGGGAAAGGAGTTCGAAGATCAATTGGAAAAACGGGTCGAGCGAAATGACTGGAAAAAGTAGGAGAAAAAAAGTATTTCAATTACAGACACCACTAACAAAAGAAGGAAAATGGTTGGGTCACGTGTTTGCTAAAAGACGTGAAGGAAACTGTGGACAAAGGGGGAGTAAAAGAAAGAGAAGCTGATAGACTATATGATGCAAAGGAGAGTAGGGTACAGAAGCATGGAAGGGGAGGCACAATATCGACCGGGATGGAGAACGAGCACTAGGACCTGCGATGCAGAAAAATCATGATCATGGAATAATTCAAAACCCATTCCATCTAGATGTATGGCGCGACCAGGGGTTGGAACCCATATGGAATATAGGTTCCGGTTCCGCACTATTTGGGTAGAATCATTTTTTAAGGGTTCCGGTTCTGTGGCTTCAGTCGTTTTCGGTTCCAGTTCGGTTTTTCAGGGTTCCAACATAAATAAATAAAAGGAGAAGGCAAGAGTTTATACTTGGCCATCAAGTCGATAAACGATCACTCACTGATGGTGATAAGGAATGAAAGCGGATATGATGTGTACTTTCCAGAAAGTAGGTATGATATAGTGACTCTAGGATTCTCTAGATGCTTTTCGATTACTACCAAATTGAATAATGTTAAATCTAAGAAAAAAAAGAAAACACCAACACTTCAGAAGCAAATTTTAAGAGCAGCAGTATAACAGGCATTTCCCTCTCGCCAACCGCAACGTGTTGAACTGTTGACTCTACATACAAAAGAGAGGGAACCGTAAAATACCGGTTTTTTGGCACTAATGATAACGGTACCGACATCGGTTCCGGTTATCATAACCTTTTGAATAACGGTTTCGGTTCCAAGTCAGGGGCTTATAAATGCAATCGGTTCCGGTTCCGGTACCGGTTCCAACCCACGATGGCGACATGCCCATAATTATGCTTTGCCATCTGTAGAGGTTTTATATAGTATCGTATTATTAAAATCTACTTAGAATAGAAATACAATAGTGTCTATGATTTACATTAGTAAAGTTAACGATTCATAGCTGACCATATCACAAGGGATTAGTGCGTTCTTGCTTTCAAACCTAACCAAAATCCATTTTTGGCTCTCAACTGAAATGCATGTTTGCCGAGCTGCAGCGGTACGTCGGTCTTTTCGGTGACTACCAGATTAAATTTGCTCAGAAGGTAAAAGAACACCAATTTGGTTTCCATGAGTGCGAAACGATTTCCGATGCACGACCTCGGCCCGACGCCGAACGGTATGAACTGGTAGGGAAGTATGCTCGTCTTATTCTCCCTATTGAATCGTTCGGGATCGAATCGGGTGGGGTTTTCGTAATTATTTTCGTCACGATGGATCGCGAAGATCGGAATCCAAATGGGATCGTTCACGTTCAACGTTACGGCCGTTTCGCCCTCCTTTTCGGGTGCGATGGTATACGACTTGGTGCAGACGCGATCGGAGACCACGCCGGCTGGCCACTTTCTCATGGTTTCTGGTGCAGTACGACTTAGTGCGTGGACTTAAGCGGGAGAGGGTACTTACCTGCAACCACCATGTCCATGTATTCCATTTTTGACAGCGCCTGGTAAGTGATGTTCCCCTCGCATTGCCGCATGGTGTCGTCGACTTCATGTTGAAGACGTTCTTGGATGTCAGCGTTAATGGCAAGTTCGTGCGCCATGAAGCACATCAAAGTGGAAACGCTGTCGAAACCGGCGAAGAAGAAGATTAGCGCTTGAGCCGTTATATCCATGTCGGTCAGTTGTTCTTTCTTCCGTTTCTCTTCCTTTCGATCAGCAACTCCTTCAATGGCCGTGAATTCGGTGTCCTCGACGGCTTTATCAAAGTTCAGTCTGCCTTTCCGTGCTTCTATCAGCAAGTGAAGCATGTCAGGGCGTATAATGCCATTCTGCTCTCGACTCGCGATGTTTTCCCGAATGAGCGTCGTGAAGAAGTGCGTCGCCTGCTTTGAGAAGAACGTGAATTGTAGTCGCTGCAAGCAAAACCTTGTAGAAACCGCGAAAAAGGGCATATACAACTTTGGCGAGGCGAGGAAACAGGAACGTGATGATCATCCTCAAGTTGGCCCAAAATCCCGTGAAATTGGTTATATCTTTGCCCATCAAGTAAAATTCGTTCTGCGGATTTCGTATGGAATCGCAATTGACACCAAATGCGGAGGTCGCGATGATGTCGTTCGTGAATCGGGTGAAAACGTCTTTCATCTCCATCGAGTGGGCTTGATCTGGATGTTCCTCGAAGTACCCCACGAACGCCTTGGCGTAGTTGGATATTAGGTCAAACATCAACTTCATTTTGCTACTTGTGAAGGAAGGGCTTAGGGTGGCCCGCATATCCTTCCATTTGTCACCTGCAGAATAAGAACATGTAATTGACGCGTTCTTAACAATGCCGTTGACCTTTTAGCGCAAACAGATTCTTTTCCCACATCGGTTCGGTGTCCTCCTCCAACACATTGTAGTGATCGGTAAAGTACTCAAAGTCTTTCACCGTGACCTTCTTTATCAACTCAGGGTCGCGTATGAGCAAAGTTGGAGTCGAAAACTGGTAAACCCCGCAGTACCTGGACAACAGTCAGACTGGTGACCTTATTCAGATTAACTTACCTGGACTCTGGGAACGCATTGTAAATTGTCTCAAGTACCTCGGTAACGCCTCTGTACGGTATCAAACCGAGCAGCAATTCGCGAAGGTTCACCAGAAGGCTAAACTGAAGCACCCCGCGCGATTCCCAGTAGGTAAAGCGTTTTTGAAAAGCATAATACAGTACGGCGCATAAGACCGCACCCACAAGATACAAAATCACCATTTTACGTATCTAAGACTTGTAGGTCAAGATGAGGATTTGCGCAATAGTTCTGTTTTTATCGTCAAGGTCCGGATTAAACTCGATAATTGAAGCTTCCACTTTAAATTATAATCATTTGATCCTTAAGTGGTATGTACCTACTTCGACCATTGTGTCATGTGTGAATGTATGTTTGGAAGTAAACAGAATTATACAGCGTGTCCCAATAGCTAATGCCCGCAACGGAATTTTATGGCTAAAAGTATGAACTTTTAATCATAACATAAACCAAAGAATTAGTCCATTCCGTAAATACATCATATTTCAAATATATTTAATATATATAATAATATTTATAATATATAATAAAAATATTTAAAATTTTTAAAACAAAGATTAAGTTTAGCAGTTCAGCAGGGAAATGCGGCTTGTATTTTAGGCACTTTACCGCAACAGACAGCATTTAATGAAATTTTTTATATATTTTAAGTATACGCTAAATTTTTTTTTTTAACAATTTTATTTGTAATATTTGTTATGTTGTAACCTTTGCTTAAATCATATTTAAGAACACTCTGTATAGACGGAGGTGTGCAATTTTAAATCTGATTGTAGTATGTTATGCTTATGACAGTAAATTTACCCGAAATCATCACGACCCCTTCATTTGCATGCGTATTTCATCTCAGGAAATTTTAGTTTTCAGTTTAGTGGCAGTTATACGTTATATGCGTGTGTCACGTTATCAGCCGCAACTGTCAGATTGACATTAATCAAAAGTTCCTCATGAAAATTGAAATTTTATATTAAAAAATACAATTTTGGACAAATTTTTAATACAAACCTCGGCAGTAAAAATTTGGTTACTCGGAGGGAATCTCGAAAGATGGTTGACAAATTTTAAATCGGCACAGCTATGGGAAAAATTAACCATATTCTGAAGTATGGAAATGTCCAAAATTACCCTTATACCTTAGGGTTTGTAGCAAAAAAAGCACAAATTAATTGTCTTTAACCTTTTTACCGGTTGCCATTTTATGAACACCTTGTATAGGCCAGTAAATGAACGTGGAATACGGCGATACTGTGTAATTTTCCGCGTCTCCACCGAATCGCATGAAAATTTGGATTTAGGTTCTACTTACCCTCCACTTCAAAATTGAGCCCAGGGTTGCTTTTTATTTTTTAGGGGAAAAACTACCCCTATTAGAAAAAAATCGTATAATTGTAAATTAAAGCGGGTAATTGATTCAAATCCTCTTTTAAAGGAGGGAATAAATATTAATTAACATTAAACAACATAACTTAAGATTTTATCACAGTTTAACCTCTAAAATAGTTATAATTAAAGCAATGTCATAGAATACTTTGCCTCCACTGATTTGTATGAATATTTGGATTTAGGTTATTCTTCCCCTCCATTTCAAAATTGGACTTGTGCCGTTGGTTGCTGTTTATTTTTTAGGGGTGGAACCAACCCCTATTAATGATATAATTGTAAATTCAAGCAATTTGGGATTATTTAATTATACAGTAACATTAAATTTAGATTTCCTTGCTATTCTATATTTACTATTGAATAGTAGTAATTTTTTTTCTTCATTGATACTATATACAGGCAGTGGCCGTTGCTCAATAAGTGCAAATGAGCACGTGCACTCCCAAAAATCATTTTAAAAAAACGAAAACAATAACAATTCTATTTATGTATTTAACATTCTTGCACGTTCGTATCTCGCAATAAAAATAGTTCACTTATCTGTAATGCAAAACCTAACGGGTACACTGACACACCGCTGAACGTGTATTAAGAATTATTCCCATTCCGCCTTCCTGTGCAGTGCACGATTAGCTACGATCTCTGATTCGTTCAAACGCTACGTCGCCTTTCCCCGTGCGCCCCGCGAAGGTCCAAGTTGTAAAGTATAGCAAGAGCACACTCTCATTGTGTACCAGTATTCGCCGGACTGCGAAGTAGAGCGTGTTGATCGTTTCGGTTTTAACAAGTAACGTTGCGACGTTACCGTTCATTATTTAAAGACAATTATTAAATTTAATTTACTAAAACTAGAAGATCAAATTAAAATAAAAAATGCGGGTCGCCCAAAACCGAGTTTGGAAATATCGAAAATCAATAAAGGAAGAATAAACGATCGTTTAAAATAGACATGTATGAAAAACCTGACTGGTTATGCGGTTGTACCTTTAACAATAGTCTATTGTTTTCCGTGTTTGTTGTTTGGTGATGAGCTCGGGATGAGGCATCAGAATGGACAAAGAATGGCGTTACTTACAGACTTAGTCCATTTATCCGAAAAAATAAAAAAATATCAATCTTCAAAGGCACATCATATATCTGCTAAATTGAGATTTAATTTATTAGGTAAGCAAGATATAAGGCAGCAGTTAAATAGTGCATACCGTTTGAGTATCGAAAAACGTAATGAGGAAGTAAAAAAGAACAGGTATGTTTTATCCAAAATTATAGACCGTATAAAATTTTGTGGTGCTTTGGAACTTTCTCTCCGCAACCATCGACAAATCGAGAAAATTCAAATCAATCAAATCAATACGCTTTTTTATGCCATTTAATAGGCCCAAAAAACTTCGTGTTGCGGTAACACTCAAAAAATTTTCGCCTCCGGCTTTTTGCCCGTGGCCCCATTTTTAAATTGTGCACCCCCAAGACACACCACTACGCGCCGCCACTGTATACAGGGTTTTTTTTAAATTAAAATTTTACGAATTTATTTTATTTCAATTAAAAAAACAATCCTTATTGTTTGAAATATACGTACTAGATCTCTAGATTTTCAATAACAAATTTATTTTTATATGAATATTAATTTTTTATTTATAATACAACAATGCTTTGAATTGTAAAAAGTATTGAAAAATAATTAAATTTCTTCTTCATTTTCGTCTTCCTCTTCACCTCCACTTCTTTCCACATGAACCTCATCCTCGTTCTCATCTTCATCTTCTACGTTGTCCATTATTGGAGCACTATTATTGCTTCCGCTTCACGTTATACATGCGGAATTGCAGAAAAGCCCTACTTTTCGACAACCGCGTGCTGAAATGTTGAAAGGGCTCGAATGAGTGACTAATGACGAGTGTATGCAAACTTTGAACAGCCATATCTTAACCAATTTTTGTTTTACAGAAAAACAAAAAAAAACATGTTCAGAAAAGCAAAAGATACATTTTTGTATTCTTGTAAAATTTTCGTATCACTAATACTTTTGAAGTTATTTTGAAAAAAAAGGCAATTTTTCAAAATTTCAAATTTTTTTTTACTTCAAAACTACATTTTTTCAAAAATAAGCACTTTGCAACGGTCAAACTTACAGATCATATAAACAATACATAAATAAAGTAAACTGTAAAGCCGTAACGTTTAATTACAATTGGGGTGCTAATTAGGGGGTGATTTCTTCGATTTTTTTTACCAAAAAAAAAGGACCAACTTTATTTTGAGCGTAACTCACTTAGTTTTGATGCTAGGAACTTTTCTTGAAAACACTTTAAAAAGTATTCATAAGTTTTCCCCGAAAAGTGCTTCATTTTTTGGTTATTTCACGTTGAAGTACTCGATTTGAAATTTGACGAATGAGAACCTACCTTTCATGAGCTACAACTTTGCTTCTACTGGGTCTACAGACTTCATATATAGACAATTTTGTTTGTATAAGCTATATTTTTGCTAAGAAACTGTTTTCGATACAATACTTACTTTTAGAGTTATTTGCAAAAAACCGTCTGAAAACGTGTTTTCGTTGAAAAATGAACATTTTCACTCGCAAATTACTCGAATACCCCCGAGAAGGGGAGGCATTCACCCCCCCCCCCTCCCAGTGAAAGCAACCTGGGGCTCAAGTTCACCTTTGAAGTAGAGGGTAAGAGGAACCTAAATCCAAATTTTCAATCAAATCCGCGAAAAATTACACGCCAAAACGATCATTTACTGGCCTAGTATAAACAAATCAGATTCACAACTTTTCCTAATAAACTGGTTTTTTAACGTTGTAATTTGCCACTTCAAAAATAGCGCAACGAAATTTTTGCACCTTTGACTCAAACGCTTTCGTGGTAACAATGTATTTTAATACAAGTCTATTAATCCGATCGTCGGCAAATATTCACCTATCAAAAAGTAACTTATTCGCACTGTTCACTGTTGAAAACTATATCAGCCGTACCCTACCAAGTTCTCTTGTCGCATAAAAACACCTTTTATTACTGTTTTGTTGGAAAAGGCAGCTACCACTGAATGAATGTATAAAGTACGCACGACAATACACTCGGAAAATGGTGGCACAAATCAGTGATAACAGCAGTTATACTATATTATATAAAAACGGCGTACACAACTCACAATATTCGCCTTGAAAGCTTGGCGAAGAATTTCAGTTTACGCTCGATGTTCTCAGGTTTTAGTAAGAATCTCGCGCCCCCACCGCATTTTTACTTAAGTACCTGCTCGCCGAATCCCAAGTATACCCACCGCTTCTGAAACGTTCACTCTGTTTTTTACACACGCAAAAGTGTAGCAGAAAATACCCTCATTCTCCGTTTCGACGGTTTTTAGAACCGGCAACACTGTAATGTTTCAACTTTTATCTGCTTGAACACTTGTTTCTTACCTTAACGCATATTAGTTCCGTTTTGCTTCGCTATAAAGCGTTTTTTTTAAATAAAAAACCATTTTAAGGGTCCTAAGGGTCTATCAAGCCGACACTGAAAACGTTGACTTACCCTACTAAAAAACTACGAGCAGAGCCACCTACCTTTCAAGTTGAAACGATGGACGTTTCGCGGCACTTTTGAATTTGGATGGTAGTCGGCTGGATATGGGTAGCACAAATGAACTCCTACGTTGTGTAATCGGTTCTTGTATGTGTTGGGACGTGAGACATAATCGGGAAGGGAATTAAATAAAAGACAGAATTTTTGTGCGTAAGAAATGACAAGAACAAATAAATATATTACGCACACAACAAGACCATACCAGGGAAACCTTCTACGGGACAAAAACCCCGGCATAGGCCACACGTCACAAATACATGAAATAAATCACCTACAGCAATAAAATGCAAGAGAAAATACACATAAATAAAACATCTCAAATTGTATGATAAAAATCAGATAATCAAATCAAATGCAATTAAACAAGTTCACAAAAACAAAATACACAAGACATCATAAATGCAGTGGAAAACCTGATAAATCAATTCAGTACAAAAACACATCAAAATACATGTACAATCAATTGAGATAACACAACTCGTAAAATAATAAATTCCATGTACATAGGAAACATGTAAATGGTGTGGCTCTACTCCAGCCTTCAGTTAACATAATCTTATTTAACACGAAAAGTACATGTGAGAATGCCAATAGCAAGTATTCATGTGAAAATCGATTATCGCTCAAGCAGAACATATTTTAAATAGAGGAAATGTTAATGAGGGGCCCCTAAATATCTCGCATTGCTAAGATGCCAAGAACTGCAATCCACACGAGACGAGTAGGCAACAGATGCAGCGAAAGATCGAACTGTATTAGGTACCTACTCCACGGAGACAGCAGACAGCATCAACCACTCATACACACAAACATCGAAACATCAAATAAAAGAGCCCCCCCCCCCCTTCGTATAGCTAACGCACAAGAACTGCGGCGCGCCACGAATAAGAAAGATAACAGATACAGGGAACAATCAAACTGTATTAGGTACTTCCCTCACGGAACAGTTATGATTCAATCGAACAGGAGCAACATCGCACTGATAATCAACTCCTCCTGAATACAAAAATAAATACAATAATGGCATAATCACCTGTATAGTATTTATAACAAAGACGATTCATCTAACCGTACTCCTAAACAAAAGCATGGAGTAGATACGTCGTATTTAGATAGGCATCGCAGTTTATGCAAAATCAGCAAAATGTAAATTATATCAAATTGTGGCAAGAAATTCAATGATTAAATAGCTAATACAAGAAAGAATAAAATGGTTACTACCTGTAATTACACCTTCAAAACACCACAACCAAAATAATCAAGAATAAAAACCGGGAACGCGTGATGCTTTCCGGCGACCCCGTTGCCATCTTCGTTTCTTCCGCCACGCTCTTTTTCCCCTAGCTTCGTTACGAAAATCCCCTAGTCTTCGACATCTGCGCAGAACGGTCGATTGGTTATATACAAGAGCATATCATATTTTTGTTTCAAATGTAAAGGTGTGTTGCCTAATCATAAGGGTGGATTATCACAAGATGATGCATCTTTTCATTTAAACAATAATAGATTATTTTATTTGTTTTATATTTAATACACAATAGGTAACCTACGACGCTGCACATACTTTTGAGATCTGGCAACCGCGCAACATGCTGTTTGTCGTTTTTTTGTATTTTTACAGAATTACGCCTATGAAAAATGTTATTAACTCTTTGAAATTGTTTTCATTTTTATGTAAATGTTTGTTCAAAATTGTCTTGGCCGGTAGTTCAATTTATAAGTATATTTGGTCATGCGTTCAAATATGTGGATGGTAAGGAAGTGTTGGCTGTGTAGTGACTTGTCGTATGTAAACTAACACTTTTCGCCGTGAAGAGACAGTCACAGGGATGGAAAATACTGTAACAAAAATCGTTACCACATCCAAGTCTGTAATTCATCTCGAATCTCAACTGTAGGCTTGAATATTTTGCACGAGGGTCAAGTTACAAGTCCACGGGGAGAGGACGCTCCTAACAAAAACTCTCCAGTTTTGAATCTATGTGCGATATGCGTTGCGATTCACTAATTTGTACATATTTTGTTGTTAACATTGAATTTACTTTCCAATGCCATGTTATTTGCTTGTAACTTGTTTTTTTATTAAATCATGTTGTGTGTATTTACTATGACATTCAAAATACGCAATTGTAGTGTTTGATTTTGCATTCCTTCCTTACGGTACTTTCATTCATGGCGTCATTCACAACTAACGTAAGGAGGCCCTGACCATGTGTCTTTAGTCATATGCGATTTTTCGGTTTTAAATTTAAGCGGGATCCAGTTAACCTTTGGAGAGAATAGCCAATTTTAAAGGTACGCTAAAGATGAACGAATGGCAACCCGCTGGGTTATTTCTCCTAGGTAAATTACTAGTGAATTTCCAGAATTATTCGATGGTCTTTAAGAGGTTGGTGCAGAATTTAGTGATATTGCTCTTCATTTACACTTTCATAAAGAAAGTGCTCGTTATCATTCTTCTTGCTATGGCCACCCGAATGCCACCCCTATTGAGATGTAGGGGTGTTCCGATGTAAATATGTGGGTTTTATGGTGTTCACTTGAGAAATCCTGATGATTCAACCACTCGGGTGTGAAGGGAGAAAGGACATTTTAATTGAAACCTCGGTATCGCGTTACTTCACACGAATGACATTCAACAAGTTTACTGCAGCTGCCAGGAGCCCAGAATTGAGCCTTAAATTTTGATTCTGTAAACCGCGGGCAATTTCACTGCAGCCGTCAGCGAGGTCAAAATTGGGCCTTTAAACTTTGGTTCACTGTAAATCGCAAGCCATTTCAATCATTATAGGTACCAGTTCGCATGTCCGTAGTCAATCGGTCCCGAGTACTGCCACTTATGTGAGTTCGTAAGTAGATCGGACTCAATCGACGAAAAAGAAGTGCGTATACCCCACCACATCCGACTTCACGCTTAACTTCTATCGGGTAGTCCGACCATAGATACCAAGAACGTCTGTCTAGGTACCTACATAGTGAAGAAAATGCCACAGACGGGTCGTATGAACTGAGTTTAGCAGGAATTTTAGTATATCAATTGAAAAATCATAACAAACGCTACTTATTAATTATTTATCCCAAATATGATGAATCCCCCACTACATTATAACAAAGATTAGACTAATTTTAAAGTAATATAATGTTTGATCTACATACTAGTTAATAAATCATTCTAATTCAAATTGTAACACTAGCACCTATTAATGCCTAATTGAGTCGTGCCACGTTTCGTACTTGACCAATCACATTTCTCAATAGTTTGAGTTACATTTAACATAGTAGAATCGTGTAAAATTAACAATTACAAAATGCCCAAACTCTTACAAGCTATAGGCATCTAGAACAATGGTGCGGTAAACCTGTAACCCAAAGTGGGAAATGCTCAGTTTGGTGTATACAAATTTAAAACATTCAAAATCGACGAACCCCTCGTAACGCATCAAATAAAAAATCTTAAAGTTTTAAATTTGTGTACTGTGGAAAACAACCAGAGTAAAACGAAATAAATCAAAATTATCTTCTAATGATCCCCCTCAGTATTTACGGGTTTTGCCCCATGTTTACTGAAAACTGTATGATATCACAATTATGGGCGTCATATGCGACACACGTCATACAGACTAATTTTCTTCTCAGAATTGAAACACTTCTATAAAATTCTGTCGCATACTGTATTTACGATCTGAGCGTCATCACCAATGTCACATTTAAAATCTTTAGAAATGTTGTGTTCTAAGAGATGACGTTTCAAAGCTCTCTTATTCCTTGTTTCAAAATTACAATTTGCGCACCTAAATTCTTTAGAACTGTTGTGCGTTATGTGATGACGTTTTAGATTCCTTTTCGTTATCGTTGTATAATCACACTGGTCACATTCTAATTTTTGACATATTTTATGCGTTATGACGTGTAGTTTAAATTTCGCTCTTGAAAATGTTGCGTAATCACAATTTGTACACTTAGAAAAGTCTTCAAAAATTTTGTTCTTTAAGTCACATTTAAATTTATATTTTAAGAAATGTTGGTTAAAATTGCAATTAATATTTGTTTCATAATTACATATACCACATCTAAATTTTTTGTGATTTAAGAGGTGACGTTTCAAAGCACCTTTAGACTTTGTTACAAAATTACAATTGGCACACCTAAATTCTTCACAAATTTTGTGCGTTAGGAGATGCTGTTTGAAATCCTCTTTCGCATTTGTTTTATAATCACAAATGTCACATTTAAAATGTTTGTGTGTTGAAAGATGTTTTGTCCAACAGCGTTTGTGCTTGGTGACAAAATCGCAAGTGTCACATTTAAAAACACTAACGCCATGTGTTAGATAATGTGTTTTCAAACTGATTGCACTGTTTGCTCCATAATGACACAATCCACACTCAAAATAATCATGGGTTGAAAAATGATCTTCAAACTTGTAATTATGATTTGTTGCATAATCACAAATGTCACATTTAAACTTTTTAGCAATTTTACCAGCTATTTCACATTTAAACGTCACATTTTGAGATTTAAAATTTGACCAAAAATCCTTTTGTTGCTGTGCTTCGTCCCCCTTATACTCATCGGTACAGTATTTCATACCAGATGCCATGGCAACGGGTTCTTCTTTTACGGAAACATCATTGTTTATAAAAATGTTTCCGCCAATTGAGAAATTTATTTCCTCTTCTTGTTCGTGTTCTATCTTAACCGTTACCGGCTATAAATATATGTAAATGATATCATCACAAAAATAACACTTACCTCCATAAGTGCAATGCCTTACAACTGAAATGGCCTTCCAAAGGCTATGAAAATAGATATTTTATAAACAAAGCTGGTAGCATTTAATGAACTTACGGTCTCGATTGAATACAAATTTGTTGGTGTTCAAAACAACCTAAAATGTAACTAACCTGCTGCCACTGGCTTCTTTAAACGAGAAGGATACGGGTACGCTCTCAAAGCCCATTACTTCTGACTCTGAGGGTCTGTTCTGTCTGCAGACTGCAACTTATGTAGGGTTATGTAAGTGAAAAGTAGGTTATACAACCTGGCAACGCAAAGGAGATTTGCGCATGCCAGTGGCGTACCTAGAGATTTTACCGCGGGGCGGTAACCAATTTTAAGTGGCATTTGGTATTCCACATAAGTTTTGTGCTTTAAAAGGTACCTCTTTAAATGTATATGTCATGAGATATATCCCTTTAAATACTGAAAGGTTCCACCCTGTATATACAGCTTACGACGATACATACATTTTTGAGAGTTGGCAACCATGCAATTTCTATGTGGGAAAAAAGCTGCCTGCGCTACCTAGAAAGCACGAACGAGAGTTACGTTTGGCATCTTGTCTTGAATGGCGGTCGTGAACGTTTCGCTCCATAAATGTTTGTTGTTATTTTGTGTTATTTAATGCAGGTAGTAATTTTTGCATTCCTTTATATCGTATTTGTGTTTTGTTTGCCGCATTTTATATTTTTTGTGTGTTTCAATATTTGTTTTTGAAATTTACTTGGTTTAACCGCAATGCAATCATATGTGTGATACCGTTATGCTATTGTTTTTAATTGTTTACATTTTTGGTGTAATGTTTGCTTAATTTATGTTTATTGATGTTGGTTACTTGGTCTTGTCCCTGAAGTTACATTCATGTAAGTTTTCATTTTATTTTAATATGTGGAAATTGCTGATTCGTTTGATGTATGTACTGACTTGTTGTATGTTACTAACAATTTTCTCCGTGAATGAAGCAGTCTCGGGAAGGTGGAAAAAGAAACTGTAGTATATTATGTGTTAGGGCACCTAATTCCGTGCACTGTCTTCGACATCCAACTGTAGGTTCGAAACCCTGAAACCAGGGGCGGACTACCCATCTTGCAGGAGCGAGATTACGCTAATCAAAGCTCTTCAGTTTAGAATCTATGTGCGTTAAATGAGTGGCGATTCGCTAATTTCCACATATTTGTTTTTAGTCAAATTTGCCTACAAGGCCATGTAATTTTCCATCTTGCTTTCAACAAAAGGATTTTATTGCACCAAAGATGAATCACATCCTGTGTATTTCACCCTTTCTCAGAATCTTGGTACCTGTTCCTACCTGGCCCATTGTCACCAAAAACTTGTTTTTAACCTTGAGTGTAACCAACATTGTGTATATGCATTTACTATCTTTGTTAATACTTTGTTAATTAACTTTTGGACTGTTTTAATCAAACTGCAAGGTTTTTCTTACGTCGTACTCCTTTATCCTTAGCAGTGACTTTTGCGAGAGTACGACACATTTTGGCTTTGTTTGTTTTGTTTATATTAATGTACATCAACTAAATTTCCGGGTTTTCTCAATCATAATAATTAAACAAACTTTTCACAATTTCAGTGTTTTATTTAACGTTCCTTCCCTATTGTGCTTCAGGTCAAAGCGTTATCTATAACTAACGTAAGGGGGCCCTGCCTTAGATGTTTTATCACGTGCCACTTTTCAAATTTAAGCGTGATCTTGTTTAGTTTTAGAGGGAATAGTCATTCGGGTGGCCATTTTTAAACGTTGCCGGGTTTATTTTATTTCCGTGTTCTTGTAGTGTGAAGTTAGCGTAGAACCTGGGGGTTAAGTACACTACAATACCCTGTATATTTCAACGTCGGATGCAACCGGTCAAGTAGTTGGAGATTCTGGGGACATGAGCCACCGCCATCACCACCTATCGATATTTTTTTCGTAATTTCCGGAGGATGTTTGGAATTTGGGGGCTTGGCGTCACTTGTTGATTGTTAAAGCTTGTTGGTGGTGGGATTATTGTATTTTGAGTTGTATTCATAGAGTTTAGCTTTGTTTTGGTGTTTGTGCGTAGGATTCAACCACTTTGGTGTGGGGTAAAGTCTTTATGTAGTTTACTCTTATGTACTTATACGAATTGTGCCATTTGTTAAATCAGATATTTTCCATATCTACCATTGTGCTAATATGTAATTTACAACATGCGAGGTGTTAACTAATATCCATGTGCTTGTGGAAGTCTACAATATCTCAGGTTTAGACCACGTTTAACTCAGTTACACGGTGCAGGGGGGTGTACCTATGTAGAACCTCGACTTCCGTGAAGTAGGGCATCCAATGCTAGCTGTATTTAGTTTAGGGTGACTCGTAACATTCGCGAATGTGTGTGCCTTGTTGTATGTAACTCATATCTTCCTACCGTGAGAGGGAGCTCGGACGCTAGAATAGAAATGTATTCTAGAGCTAAGGCATAAAAGGATCCGAGGGCCCTCGAAACTCCAACTTTAGGGACGAAGTGCTGTAACCAAGGCCGTCCTACCCATGGGCGGCGACCCATCTCTTAACCATCTTCAGCTTTGTGTCGTTACGTGACCGATGTCAGGGGAGTGTTACGAAGCACAGGTAGTAGTTCCGGAAGTCTGGGGTTTATACCAATGTCATGTGGAAACTGAGCATAATTGGGGGCCCCACGAGCACACTGAGTATTGTCATAACTGCCTATTGTTACGTCACAACATGAATAATAGATCAGACGTGTTTTTACGAACTTCACACCACTATATTCGGTATATAATGATATGAATAACTAGTAAGGTAGTAGCAATAAATGCATGAATGTGTTGCCCCTAACAATCTTAACTGCGCTACGGGTTAATAGGCAAATATGCCAGCCCAATTCCTAACAATATAACCGTGAAACAGGAGGGCAATCAAGCGAAGACGCTGGCCCAAACCTAACGAATAACCAGGTTCACCACCCAATGACAAACTAAAAAGTGAGTTGCCTTCTAGCCGCGATTAAAGGGAAGTGCATGACATGTTGTGACGAATACTCTACGCATGCTATTCAAACGTACCCTGCTACTTGAATTCATTCATTAATTAAGGCAGTGTTACGTGTTCTGCTTAGGTGGTTGGTGTTGTAATTTGCTTGTGATTAGCATAGTTTGGGTTTTATTCAAGGCCAAGGTTTTTTCTCAAGTCGCGCTCTTTTTCTCCTTGGTAGTCTGCTTTTGCGAGAGTGCGGCACCTTTAGGTTTTGCTTGCTTTGCTTTTGATGTACCACATCCAAATTCCCGGGTTTTCAGAATAAGTTTATAATAAATAAACTCGCAGACATTACAGCGTTTTATTTGAGTGTTCCTGCCCGACTGGGTCCCGAGTCATTGTAGTCCAGTCAACCTGTGTCGTAAAACACCAGTTGAAGGAAAAAAATAGTATAAAGCTAATTTTTTCCCCATCGGCTACTACCATTTAGACAAGTGTTTAGCCAAAAGTCCCCGCCCCTACCCCCTTGCTTCCCCCCCTGTGCCACCCTAAACATGAAAAGTGTAGGGGTTTCGTAAATCGCGTCTCTCTCGATTACTAAACAACATATCGGACTGCAATTTTTTATTCTCTTTGCTATAACATTGTCTACAAATAAGTTTCAGTTGACTTTCGTCGTAACTTTTACCGTTTGTTTGTAATTCGTATGAAAAGGTAAAAAGTGGTATATTTTTCGGCACGTAATTTTACTTTTTGTCGCAGAAATTTTCACGCCGACATTTTATCAAAAAATGTTTCCTACAAAAGTTGTAGCTCCCATTATTACCTTTAAAATGATATGAAATAGTACTTACTTTGTTGAAGAGCCTGCGAGATTCAGCTGGTGTAATGCAGAATGCGTACCCAATCGTGGCGGGTTCCGTCGAGGTGGGCCCGGCGGCGCGGCGTTGCAATGCTAATATTGTTGTATAGTGAGTGTTTTTTTAAACTTTAAGGTACACTATTGCATTTTCTCTAAACTAAACCCAACGAATCTCAGTGAAACCTAAATTCCACCCTTTTTAAATTTGTGTCAAAAATTAATTAAGTCCTTGTATAGGTACAGCTATAAAACGTATTGTAAATAGTTTTTTGTTTGAAAATGCATGTAATATTTTGTTTAGGTTATTTTAGAAGAAAATAATTGCGGTATCTTAATTTAAAGTAAAAAATATTTTCAGATTATTCACATTAAAAACTAAATTGGTGTTTCAAGAAAAAAGCCTCTCCTACCTCTTTGAGAATATTTGTGTCTGCCTGTTTTTCATAAAACTGTTAAGCTTTTGTGCGATCATTTGATGAACTTAGCAATTTGTTCTCGTTGATTTTGCCTTTGCCGAATAAAGAAGACCTGGTATCACATTCTGTGATAACATAAAAAAAATAATATCACATCCTTCATATCACCAATCTCTTCACGGGTCTTGCTGATGTCATAGGTTGATGGTGTGCCAGAGGGTTTGTGAAAGAATAGTTGTACATTTTGGCACTGTGGTAGCCCTAAGAATTGAACGAAAAGATCTGTATCCTGTCCGACAACAACTGTAGGCCTCACACTTTGAATCTGGGAGACACTATTATTCTTCCAAAATCAACGCGTACAAAGTTCATCAAATGACAGTTTTATGAAAAACAGGCACACAAAAATATTCTCAAAGAGGTATTTATAGGAGAGGTTTTTTTCTTGAAACAAATACGGATGGCACAAGGTCTGCACTCTGCATGTCTCAATGACAGTAGATATTCAATGTAACTTAAAGCTGTTGCAAAAATGTCATTAAAATCCAAATTTAACATCGCATCCCTCCCTGCAACATCTGGTGCTGCTGAACAACACGCTTATCGTCTATCGAGCATATTATCAGATTCAAAAATGGATCCTGCAATTGCAAAAAGGCTTGCAAAAGTAATTGCAGCTGATTTAAAGCATCACTTGTTGCACAGAAATGTGTGGGAGCTGTGGCGGATCATGCAGTAATGTAACTTTGGTTGAAGTCAAGGAAAATGAAGAACTTGTCCTGGAAGTTTAGGAAATCGGAAATGATCAACACCAATTTATTTTTTAATGTGAATAATCTGAAAATATTTTTTACTTCAAATTAAGATACCGCAATTAGTTTGTTCTAAAATAACATAAAAAAATATTACATGCATTTTTAAACAATAGTTATTTACATAAAAGTCAGGAAAACGACACATTACTGT